GCATCTTTTTAGCATTATGTCCAGTCAACACAGCAGTGTGGAATATATTGAATTAGAAAAAAATAAATGTGGGATTATAGGAACTTGTGTAATGTCTCTCAACCATTCATAATGTGCATAATGAACTAAGTGTTGTAAAATTAAGTATGTGGTAAGTGTGTATTATATTTTTAATATTTATTTTTGTTTCAAGGGCGCTTTGACTTGCATCAGCCCTGTATGAATGTCAAACATGCAAGCAGCAGTGGACCCCTGACATGAAGGACCTCCTCAGAAGTGGATATTGGCCAGCCTCCGTCACCAATTCCACACTTTATACATTGGACCTCCTGAGCTCCTTTAAGGAACTCAAGATCATTTCTCCAGGATTCTCCAGACAAGCCTTTGCAAAGCTGCTGGAACATCGCACTAAGTGTGGAGGAAGAGTAAGTGTAAATGTTATTTTCTATTAAAAAAAATAAAATCCATAAGCAGACAATATCAAAATACTATTTCATTCTATATATTTTCCAGTCTGGACCTATCAATGGCGATGCCCTGCAGCGCAGCTTCTTAGAGCTTTCTTATACTTCCTTTGAGGAAGACCAGCTCTGCTGTAGTGCTCCTTTCACCTGCCCAGCCTGCATGCCGGAAATGTTGGCAGTTTCAGCAGATGGAAACAGAAAGCTATATCGCTTTCGTCGAAACGGAAGGTGATCTTTCTTCCAGTCTTTTTATTTATTTATTTTCTTACTTCATATATTAGATGAATGGATTTTCTATTTTTCTTTCTTCCTCAGCGCTGATGATCCTGGCTTTTTTGAGGGGGTCTTTGTGGCTGAAGACAGTGCGGTGTCTAGATTTGTAGACACCATACAGAAAGCAGTGAAAAATGCAAGTTGGCAAAATAGTTGTTACAATAATAAACGTAACCCCCACTTCAATTACTCCTGCCTACCAATTACAAAATCAAATTGAGAGAATGAATGCCATATATTGAATGACAGCATTGCTTTTATTTGATTTGTCATGTTTGTTTTGTGTGTCATAGACACAAGGAAGAGGCACATGTGGGGACTCCCATTGGACAGCAGCGAGGGAAACTTCTAGGAGGGCTTCAAAATTGGATGAAGAGGGGATGGAGGTTGCTGTGTGTCGCCATGGGTTCCTTTTGAAAGCCCTTAATATGTACAGGGGGGAGATATTTGCCTACCCTCTGTACCTTCAAAGGGAGCTCATGCCAGCCAAGGCACAATTCTTTGCAATGGACGTGGCATGCAAATACTGGCCATACCTGGAGAAAGTTGCTACTGTCCTTCCTGCTCTTCAGGAACTGACCACCATGAAACCCTTTCTAAGTGTGATGCATGCTCGAGCCCATGCTACTAAGTGTGAGGTGTGTATAATATTTTGGCATCATATGTACATTTGTAATATTTACAAGCACATTAATAATATGAAATATAAGTTAAGCTACAGTATATTATCTTGTCTTTTTGCATAATCATTTCTTCGACCTTTGATGCAAATTGTGGTTTGTGATATTGGGCTATATCAATAAAATTAAATTGAATTTCTTCCACCCTTTACTAACAGATTAATTGGAGTGGCAGGAACCAGGAAGGAGCAGGGACAACCGCTGGTGAGGAGCAGTGTTGGGGAGTAGTTAACTACAAGTAGCGACGCTACTAACTTAACTACATTTTTCAGTAGCTTGGCAGTAGCTCAGTTGCTTTTTAAACAGTGTAGCTTTTCCAGTAGCTAACTACTTTTTGCAGCAAAAAGAATATTGGAGGATGGAGAAACAACTAAAGTTAATTACCCCTTATTTGTCCAAGTTCAATCGGTATTTTTGAGAAAATGTTCTACATGCAATTTACGTTGGATGTATATTTTGTTCTTGCAATGTTGTAGGCTATTTGTTGCAATTTTGCACTTTTGACAAACATTCTGAGATATTTGGGTGTTGTGTGTAATAAAACAATACTTTTTGAAATCATAATTTTATTGAATTATTTTAAACACTAAATGTTTTACCTGTAAAACATTTAGTGTTTAAAACAATGCAATAAAATTATGATTTCGTCCCCTTCTGTCCTCAGACACTTATTCAGTTATTAATAATATACGTTGTTCAAAAAAGCAAAAGTAGTTTCAATGTAGCTAGCTACTTTTTGATAGTAACTTGTAGTGTAGCTAACTACTTTTCCAAAAGAGTAGCTTGACTGTAGTTTAACTACTTTAACTTACGAGTAGCTTGTAGCTTGTCAAACTACAGTTTCAGAGTAGCTTCCCCAACACTGGTGAGGAGGTGGAGCAAGTAAACAGTTACCTCTCACGTTGTGCCCTGACGACCAAATATATGTCCAAAGCAGGTGATCCGAGTTTGCAATATTCGTGTATACTATTTTTAGATTGATCATCATAACCTCATTATTTGCTTTCAACAGCACGGGTGGACATGCTTACATTGCATGCAATGGGGTGGAATGAGAAAAAAAATCTCTTTACATCAGGCACTTTCCACAAGATATGTGAAGGTAAGTATCATATTATTTTTTTTGTGTCCTTTTGTTGTTTACTTGGCCTGTTGTTAATCATACATTTTTTTAATCCTGATTATTGTATAACACTGTTCATCAGACTTGTCCCAAAGTACACAAATCTGTTGCTCTGTATCTCTGGCTGGGTAAGATTATTGGAATAAATCATCATCTCATACATCTATTTTGTAACTATTTTAAGTGTAACCATAACCACATTTTGTCATTAAGCCTTTTCAATTACAACTAATGTGCTAAATAGTTTTGATTTGGTATTGACTTTGAAGTGCTACCTATTGCGATACAATACAGTCACTGTCTATAGCAACGCTCTCCCACATATTAAGCTATTGTAAATCCACTTATTTCCATTGTTGGTATAAGTGGCAGTGGGTGGAATAGACAAGAAATGTACAGTTTTACCATCTTGCTGATAACATTTCTTTAATCATTCAGCAGTCTTGCAGCCTGAACCCTTGCAAGAAATCAACCCTTACACTGCTCTCTTACTGTAACTTTTGACTCACAATAGAGACATGTATGGTAGCTGTTGCACTACTACTGTAATGAAAAGAAATGCATCAAATTCCCTCACACAGATAGAGTTTCTGTATGCTTTCATTTTCTAAAAAAGGATGCATTATAGTTACAGTAAAAAGTGCTTCTAGCCTTCTAGCGTAGTATTACACGATGGAATGGAAGAAGCCTGTCTGGACATTTCATTTCATGTGCATCAACATGGTTGTTTTGCCTCAGGTTAATGTAATAAACTGTTGCTTATAAATATGTCATCATCATTATGGCAAGGACAAACAATATCCCAATAATAAAGATTTCCCAAAATCTGTGATATGCTCTCCAGATCAAGACATTCACAATAAATCAAAATCGTTTTTTTTTAACTAATTTACTGACAAATTTATTTTATTTTTTTTTTATTTTTACTGACAAATACTGTTCAATTCTAGAAGCTAAAACCTGATGATCCAGATAGGCTGTATCTTTATAATTAAATCTGTGTGTGTCATGGTGTGGGTTCATGTCTTGTGTCCCCCCCATTTTTGTGAATTTGGTTCAGTCCTGTTCCAGTTTTCCCGCCCCTTGTTTGTGTTCACGTTTACAACCTGTGTTGTTAATTTGGGTTGTGTGTCTTCTTGTCTGTCATGTGATTCCGTTTGCCATGTGTCTTGTTAATTGGCTTCATGCACGGCAGTATTTCCGGTGAAGGTTTAATGATGCTCGATAACTTCCGCCGATCGTAGAGTCCAATGCAATACCCATAATATATATTGAATTTTATACTCCATGGTTATACTAAAGAAACGTTAGTCACAAAAACATGTAAAACAGACACACCTCGTCGTGTTTATGCATCTTTTTAAAATTATATTAAATAAAAATAACTATATATAAAATTACATCTAAAGGTATGAAAGTTTAGTTTCAAAGACAGGAGGACAGTAAATTTTGAAGACTGCCATAATCCCACAACCGGAAGCTGTAGAGCATCCAGGATCCTTGCGTCAAATGCCGAACGTATGCGTGCATAAGCCCATTGATCATTGTTCTCAGGTGTTTCTAATTAGCCACGCCCCCTTGTTATCTTGTTTGCCTGTGTATTTAAGCCCTGTGTTCAGTCTTTGTGAGTTCTTGATGTTGGTTGTTTTGTCCCCGAGTCCTGTTTCCTGCACTGTTTAATATAAACGTGCTGGATTTGGATCCTGCTTCTCCCTTGCTTCAACCACTTCATGACAGTGTGGTTGTGTGTGTCTGTGAGAGATAATACAATCAAGATATGACATATGGAACAGGTACTTCACCCAACAAGCAGCTCCATACAGTTCTATTCACCATCTTTTTAAATACATAAAACCATTCATTTTATTTGGATAATTTTTTTTTTTTTTTTAATCAGATTTACCATTTGTTATTTGTTTGTGCTGGTCAATTATGAACAAAAAATTCAAAAATTAAAGATAATGTAATGAGTGAGTATAAAGAAGGTCAGTCTTATATTGATACAATGTGTCATTATTTTCAGTAGACACTTCTTCCTAAACTGTAATTCAAAAAGACTAAACACTGGTCTTATGGTCTGAATAATATGCACAGTTGAAAATTGATAAATTTGAATATTGTGGAAAAGTTATAATTTTGATGATTATGGCTTACAGCTTATGAAAACCCCAAATTCAAAATCACAGAAAATTTTAAATGACATACAATCAATAAAAAAAGAAGGATTTTAAATACAGAAATGTCAGCCCTCTGAAAAGTATTATCATGCATATGTATATATTTCTATATACTATATATACACCTTTTAATTTGAATTACTGAAATAAGTGGACTTTTGCATGATATTCAAATTTTTCCAAGTATAACCTGTATTTGTCAACACAAGGAAGTTTCTAAATCCTATATTACACTCTGCATACCGCCTACACTCTGCAGTTCCTTCTTGACTGTCTAACCTTTCTCACTCTTTCTTTTACAACACTCCTGATGGGGAAAGCCTCTAGGCGAGTGTGGTAGGAACAATCTGTGAACATCAAAAACACGTTTCAAATATTTCTTAGATAGATTAGGAACAAAATAAACACAACTATAAAGATTTAAGTAGCTAACAGACTTGCAAGGCTGAGAAGTGATGTTTATCACTAATTTAAAAAAAATGTATAAATGGAACCAACTTACTCTAAGTTCCAATGTGGTATGCTTGCTTTAATAACCATACTACTGCAAAGTCAACGCTCACAACTGAGAATACTCCACTGCTGCTGCTTCCAATACTTGACAGTATTTTGGTAAAATTAGACTAACTAAGCCTGTTGGATTTATAGGTGGTCCATTGTACTAATCTCAATAATATTAATCCCTTCCTATTCTATATCTATTATGAATAATCATGTATCAATAGTCAATAATCAATGTGTCAATAATCAATAGTCATGTGTGCTGCACTGGAGTAGCTGGACTGGTCACGACATTTGCATATTGTTGCACTGTTGTGGATTTGACTGCTTGTATTGTAAATATTGTATTTATATACAAGTCGCTTTGGATAAAAGCGTTTGCTAAATTATTAAATAAATAAATAAAATTGTGACTAATTGTCTGTTGTAATTGGTTAAAAAAAAATAAGCAATTGAACTATAGCAAATAAACAGGGGTAAAAGTTGTAATGTATAGCAAAGTATCAATCATTGCATTTACATGCACTTACTCTTTTGTGGCCTTTTTCTTTCAGGCATATGCCTTGGTCCCCCTGTGGGACATAAGATTACAGTCCAGTCATATATCCACTCAGAATTTTTTTTTACAATAATTAGACAAAATGCACTTTGTATGGTCCTTTCAACAGAAATATGTGTTCCTGGTGTGTCTAGAGACCCCTGAAATATGAGAAAAGACCACCCTCTCTTTTAGTTAAAGGGTTAGTTCACCCAAAAATGAAAATTCTGTCAGTATTTACTCACCCTCATGTTGTTCCAAACCTCTATGTGTTTATTTGTTCTGCTGAAAACAAAGGAAGATATTTGGAAGAATGTTTTAATAAAACAGATCTCAATCCCCATTGATTTCCATAGTACTATGGTAGTCAATGGGGAATGAGATCTGTTTGATTACTAAACACATAGAGGTTTGGAACAACATGAGGGTGAGTAAATACTGACAGAATTTTCATTTTTGGGTGAACTAACCTTTTAATATGTGTGCAATCACGCTGTTTATATTTGCCTCCACATTTTACATCACATGCAGGCTCATTAGAATAGTAATCATAGGCTTATAGAATACTCCATCTAAAACGACTAATTTCAAACAGGGTCTGCATAAATCATGCAAAGCTACTCAAGTGGAGTATCAGAATAAAAATATAGAACTGGAAATTAGCATAATAGGTCCCCTTTAAATAATATTTTATTTATGTATTTACTTAAGAGAATCTGCTTGACTAATGAGGTATGGTAACAATTCTCAGAACCACCAATACCCTACAAATATTTTTTACATACCTGACTTTTTCCTTTTGCCCCTGGCTGACCCTGTGAAGACAGCTGTGGGTTTGGAGAAAGAAAATTACTCGTATAACAAATAAATCTTTAACTTATTATTTAAAATACTGGAAGATCACAACATTGCACACGTGTGGAAGTGCATGTATTAATAGGTGTAAAGTACATGTATTCTTATTGTGATTGAATTAAGGTTGCTCAATTAACTCCAAGTGTTTGTTTTTCTCGCTTGTGTCCATCCTGTTTTTAATAATCCTAATTTGTTTAAACAAGTGCATGGTGTGTTTGAGTTCATTTCCCATACTTGACATAATGCATCCTGCATTGTGACTATTTCATATGTGAGTCGATCAAGTCGAGTTAAGTTAAGGTAACCCATGGTTCAAACACTTTAGGCCTTTACACATATTAACTGTATTTTTTTAAATTTGTTCTAATTATCTTGCCCCTCCGTGGGGCTCGCCTGCTCGCCCTGACCCTCCAAGGGGGTCGCCTGCTCGCCCTGACGCTCCAGGGGGGTCGCCTGCTCGCCCTGACGCTCCGTGGGGGTCGCCTGCTCACCCTGACGCTCCGGGGGGGTCGCCTGCTCGCCTTCTTCTGGTTGTTCTTCTGGATCTATTGGGTCACAAGGTGTGAGCTGCAGCGTAATCAGCTGGTCATTGCCACTTGAATCCTGGGTCCAACCTGTGCAAGTTAAACAAGTGTTATGTTTTGCTTATTTAAAACATAGAGGTTAACCATAAGCTTGATCTATACTTGTTTTTAGTGTTAATCTTTTTGAATCATATAGTCCAAATTTTCCACAACCAGATTTGAAGGCACTTTTGATTGCAGGATAACTATTGAGAGTCTACTGAGTCAACTATTGAGCATTAGCTTCCTGCTCAGCTACTGTTCGGACGGTCCTGCTTACTGCTCCGCGCTTTGCTCTATCGCTTTAATATTTTTTATATATTTTATCTCCTTTTCACCTAATTTTAACTTCAGCAAATCAGCACAGTGCTCAGACGCTGGGATTACTTAAAAAATACTTCACACTTTTATTCAACCAGCCTCTCACTGCTTACATTCCGGGGAAGAGAAAACACAACTCCCTACATTCATAAGGATAAGAAAATGCCTCTTCGGGAATCTACTTGCTGCTCTAACTGCCACAGACTTTTACAAAGGATTGCAGTTCTTGAAACAAAGTTAAATTCGGGACCGACAAACCAGACGGAAGGCACAAAAGAGCTCCGTCTTGGACGCCCTCAGCGCACAGCCGGTGAGTCCCATGAATCTAGTGCTCCTCGACAGGCTATACTGACTGTAGAGAAACAAGCCGATCGACTTACAAATCGATGGCACAAACAGGGAGCGAGACCCAAAGGCACTCGAGACATCAGATGGTCACGAGCACCACGTATTTCAGCAGTAGCATCATCTACCCCAGATATGACTCTGACCAGGATTGCAACCACTGGTCTCCTACCACCGCCTATTCATCTTGAGAACAGATTCGAAGTATTAATGAATGAGGAATCCCTGAATTTGACGAATGTAATCGAACACAGACTGAGTCAGCCTGTAGCTAACACTGATGCTAACCGGCGCTCAAGGTCGAGCAGACAGCGGCACTCAGCTCAGAGCACAGCGGGGCCCAGGACTCTGATAGTGGGCGACTCCATAATCAGAAACATTAGTAGCAGGGATACAATTACATGCTGCCTTCCACAAGCAACAACTTCTGATGTAAACAGGGAACTTCAGAACATTCTGGTGAAACATAAGACTGCAAATCGACTCATCATTCATGTGGGGAAAAATGATATTCATAAAGAGCAGTCGGAACTCCTTAATAATGATTTCAATGAACTTTTTGAAACACTTAAAAGACTAAAAGTTGAAACATTCATCAGTGGACCACTCGCAGCAAGAGGAACAAACAGGTTTTCATGGTTGCTTGGGCTCAACACATGGCTGCAAAAAACCTGCAATATAAAAGGAGTGAACTTTATTGACAACTTCAATCTTTTCTGGAGTCAGAGGCAACTGTTTCAACGGGATGGCCATCACCCAAACAAACTTGGTTCAAGAGTACTAAAGGACAATATCTACTTCTCCCTCCATCATCCTTCTGCTGTGTGTGCCAATCCATTCAACCTGAATGGCACTCACACACCTGGACATAGTAAGAACGACCACAGGACTTCACTTCAACACCTGAATGGACATATTGCTGACGCATCACACAAGGACAATGATAACACCACTCAGCCACAACAACAACCTCTGCTCACGGATACAATCTCAGCAGAGCCCTGCCCACAGAGCTCACCACAGTCAGACTATGACATATCAGAACTGCTCCCAGATTCAGTACCCAAGGACGACTTTCTGGAAAACAGCGAGGGAAACCAGGACAGCATTTTACACCCTCCAATAACACCAGAGCAACAGCCCATCTCACCTGACACGTTATCCGTCTCTCCAGCATCTCCACTTCTGTGCTTCTCAGAGAAAATGGAACAACTGGTGTCTGCTGGAACCAAACTATCACACTCTTTTGCTGCAAGATACCCAGATACCAACCAAAAAACGGCAGGCCCCAAAACCACCAAAGCTTTTCTTGCCCTCTCCCTCCTCCTCCGAGAGCCACAGCGCCAGGGCTCACAGCCTCCCCCATCGGCTCGAGGTGAACCAAAAACAACTGATACCAGCTCTAAGTGAAATATTTTGGGTACTCGCTATGAAAACAATAACTTTAACAAATGTTTACAGAACAAGCGGGAACCCAGTGTCCCTGAATCTTTCTCTATTGCTGTTCATTTACATGATAGAAAATCTAAGGCCTTCAACAGCCGTACAGCAAACCCATCTAATCTGGTGCCTATTACACGCCAAACTAAGACTGCTGTGGGGACAAAAAGTAAGACTATAAAGTTAGCACTTTTAAACATCCGCTCCATTAAAAATAAATCACTTCTAGTCAATGAATTAATAACCACATACAACCTGGACTTCATGTTTCTAACTAAAACTTGGCTAGAAGACAGCTGCAGTGCAACGGTCCTAAACGAAACATCCCCTCCAAATTTTACTTATATGAGTGTCTGCAGAGCGGGTAAGAGAGGCGGGGCTTAGCTGTTCTTTTTAAAGATGTTTATCAATGTAAGCAAATATCATTTGGGAATTACCCCTCTTTCGAATATCTGGGTATTGTGTTAAAAGGTGCTCCACGTATTTTACTTATCATTGTTTACAGGCCTCCAAAATACTTTCCAGCCTTTGCTGAGGACTTTACAGAACTGTTATCAACAATTGCCTCTGAGTTTGACTGTTTTGCCATTGCTGGAGATTTTAACATTCACATAGATAATGCAGAAAACAATATGGCAAAAGAAATCAAAACTGTTTTAAAAACTTTTGATCTGACACAGCATGTACACGGTCCCACACACAATCGTGGACACACTCTAGATTTACTTATAAGTACGGGTTTAAACATCTCATCGATTGTTATTAAGGATCTAGCACTGTCTGACTATTTCTGTATTTTCTTTGATATATTAATCTCTCCTGCCATTGAAGCTAGATCTGTGTCTGTCAAGAAGAGATGCTTAAATGAGAACACTGGTGTGCTATTTATGAAGGCTATATCTTTAAAACCAAGCATATCTGCTGACCCTGTTGATTTTCTCCTTGATTCTTTTAACTCAAAAGTTAAGAGTGTAATTGATGATATTGCTCATGTGAAAGTCAGGAAGAATAGTGGCAGACAAAAAGCACCTTGGAGAAACTCAACAGCTGTGCAAAATATGAAAAGACAATGCAGAAGAGCAGAACGCATGTGGCGGAAGACAAAACTTGTAGTCCATTATAACATCTACAAAGACAGCATCCACACTTTCAATAGGGAACTAGGCAAAGCTAGACTGACTTTCTTCTCAAATATTATAAACAGCAATATAAACAACACATGCACTCTATTTGCTACTGTAGAGAGACTGACAACCCCCCCCCCCCCCCCCCCAGCCAGATTCCCATAGAAATGCTCTCAGAAAGGAAATGCAGTGAGTTTGCTTCTTTCTTCTCTGAGAAAATCAATAACATCAGAAAGGTGATCAGCACATCCTTGAGTTGCTCTGGGGTCAGGCAGATCAGACCACAACCTGAGAAAGTAGTTACTATGTCTGATTTCGAAGACATTGATGGCACAATTTTGGTAGAAACCGTACAGCACCTTAAAACATCAAACTGCGCCCTTGACACACTTCCCACATCTTTTTTCAAAAGTGTGTTAAACTGTTTAGAAGCAGATCTCCTAGAAGTAGTAAATGCCTCACTTCGCTCTGGGAGTTTTCCGAACTCCCTGAAAACTGCAGTTGTCAAGCCCCTCCTGAAAAAGAGCAATCTGGATAAGACCATCTTGAGCAATTATAGACCGATTTCAAATCTTCCTTTCATAGGCAAGATCATTGAAAAGGTTGTCTTCAATCAGCTGAACAAATTTTTAAGCTCAAATGGATATTTTGACAATTTTCAATCTAGTTTCCGATCGCATCACAGCACAGAGACAGCGCTCATAAAGATAATAAACGATAATCGCTTAAATACTGATACAGGCAAATTATCCGTGTTGGTACTACTCGACCTCAGTGCTGCATTTGACACTGTCGATCACAACATACTTCTTGACAGGCTGGAAAACTGGGTGGGGCTTTCTGGGATAGTCCTAAAATGGTTCAGGTCATACTTAGAAGGGAGAGGTTATTTTGTGAGTATGGGAGAACATAAGTCTGAGTGGACATCTATGACTTGCGGAGTCCCTCAGGGCTCGATTCTTGCGCCACTTCTATTCAACCTGTATATGCTCCCAATGAGCCAAATAATGAGAAAGAACCAAATCGCTTACCATACCTATGCATACGACACACAGCTCTACTTAGCCCTATCGCCTAACGACTACAGCCCCATTGACTCCCTGTGCCAATGCATTGATGAAGTAAACGGTTGGATGTGTCAACTTTCTGAAGTTAAACAAAGACAAAACTGAAGTTATTGC